ATCCATGAGCTTTCCTTCAACTTTGGAATTTCTTTTTGAAAATTTCTAAAGGGGAAGAGACGTTCTACTGGAGGCATGGCATCTTCACTCTTTTACTCAATTTCAAAACTCGTGTTTCTCAGTTCTCACTTATCGTAAACCCGAAAGCAAAGTATCCTAAGAGAACAAAAATTTTAGTTTAGTGACAATACGTCTTCAACAGTAAAGGAAGCTTACTGCGGAACTCGTGTCCTCCTTGTCTTTCTTCTCGTGGGATCTCTGTGATAGTCGTATGTTGAGTAAAGCAAGAATAAGCAGTGCGGAAGCCAACACTACAGTGTGAAAAATTTGTTTCAACTGGCCATAAGTTAGATTCTAAAGCAGGTTGCTTACCTGCTCCCAGCAATCCAAGATGCCAAGAGAACGCAAATGCAATGCAAACGCCAACTATGCTTGCGAAAATATTGCTAATATTTAACATCACTCTATAGTCTAAGGCCTAAAAAAGCATGAGGGGATGATTTTTGTGATTCGTTGGATAACTCACCGCCATAGCTGTCGGAGGATGTTGTGACATTGCAGCTACACAAAAAGCTGGCGAGGTGTCATTGTTATCAAAGTAAGAAATCGGCATATGCAGCAATTTCTTTAGCATGAGGACTTTCAGTCGGTCCATTACTCTTTCACTCAACCAACCGGAGAAAAAAAACTAGAAATTTTAAATATTAGCTAATTGAAATACTACGATTTATTATTAAATACGAAGCCTTCTTAGATTGCGTTCTTTTTCAAACAGAGAAAAATCGTTAATCGCAAGAAAACAAGGCTCTTTATTGTTGCTGTGTGAGAATCACAAGCTTCAGCGAAGGTTCAAATAACTGTCACCCAATCTTCCAAGATCAAAGAACAACTCGCCATTACATATATCCCTTCACAATCAGAGAGTGAGCTTTTGGTATTGCTCTCATCTGAAAGCTCCTTCTCATTGCCATAGTTCTCGCAGTGTTCCCTCAAGGTAACTTTGCTCTGCCCATCATGAGTGAACACATTTGTAAATTGTGTAGCAAAACGACATAAAGAAGAGCAATTTTACCACAAAAACATCTTGGGCGGTGTAAACTCCCTGTATGTTACGACATTCAGGCTCGCACCAGATCCAGCTATCTTGCACTGTGCCGTATCTCTCAACAAGCGAGCCTGACGCGAACACCTCGCAAAACCGGCGCGTTGTTAGGAAGATGCGAGGATATTACGAGATTCGCGATGTTGTTGCATCGCGACAGGCGCGAGGTAATTAGTGCGCTTGCACAGAATCAGACATGTTGCGAGATCACGAGCTCGAGCACACCATGTTCGTAACATTCTATACGGGCAGTTACATTACAGACTATACACTAGTGACGCGCATTATATCAGCTAAGGAGGAGAAACTCTTTGCCATTTTTAATGTTTCGACCCCTTTTTGCTTCACCTTAACGCAATTTTTGTTAAATTCTAGATGTTTAAGTGATTATATTTGTATTCAGGGCTTCGAATAGCAGATATCGTTTAAAATTGACCCTCGAATTTAGTACTGAGTTCTCTCAGAAGAATAAGCACCCTTTTCGCTTGAAATGGCATTCCATTTTTGGCATAACAAGGTTAAAGAAGTAATACGTCATAAGGAGTTGAAACCTTAAATTGAAGGGAGGTGAACGTGCTCGGACACGCTAAGCCATTATAAAAGGAGGAATTAACTAATTTCTCCAAAATCGCTATATACATACTGTGATACTTCCTACTAAGTGCGGCGAGAAGTGCTTCCCTTCTGCAAAAAAAAATGTAGTAGGTAATGTTTTCAGTGTTTATGCGCAGCGTTTTACTGATAACGCAATCGTTATGAGCGCCGTTGAGGCTCGCTCAACACAAGTTCGGTGACTGGTCGGGTGCATGTTTCGCGTCAATCCTCAAACATAGTGAAAAACCTCATGCTAAGTTTGCGAATAGCTTATGCCATGTTCGGAGCTTTCACGACTATGGCTCGTTCTTGTTGTGACAAATTTGGGAGGATTACTACCAACCCTTCTGTTTCCGCGCTCGAGCGAGCGCGAGTTTGTTAAACACACCTCCATCGTTTCTCGAAGCAAGATGATGTTTTAATAATTGCAACGACTATCTCGCGACTTCGTGCGACTTTATAAAAGTTATCAGACGTCTCGGCGCGAGGAGCACCCAAAACGTCCCATCTTATGTACACTCTCTTCGCCCTTCGGTATACATTTCACTAGCCCCTATATGAAAATGATCAGTCTTTTCTTTATTGGCAGGGAGCGTCATGTGAATTGACCGAACCTGTGACGTATAATCTACGCATGGGCAAAAGACGGAATAAGAATCGGCATCTTGCTGGAGGTAATCAGTACGGAGGCTTCGCCGGTAGTGATCCAACACACATCAGCGAGGCGCAAGGGCTATCAGCAATTAGGAAATTTCCGAATGCTTGTCCCGTGAGCCTTGAGCCCATTCTCATTTGTGTTAGTGTATTTATATAAGGGATAAAATATAGGCAGTTTTTGCATTCGTGTTATGTGGCAAGACTACAGATAGCCACGAGAGAGTAGACAGATCCACACGAAGTGCTGGTAGATGCGAAATCAAGCGGACAGTGCATGGTTTCGGGCAAGCTCCATAAAATACATCATAGCATACACACATAAGGTACTGTC